ATGCCTTCATTGTATACTACTCTGAGAACACGAGAAATGAGCAAAATAGCAAAACTGTGTCACTGGAGCAGAATGCAAGACAGAATCCGCTTTGAACACACACACACACACACACACAAAACCCAAGAAAATATGTCAATTATCACCAGAAAAAGGGGGGAAAAAAATCATGACAACAGTTTTCCTACACCCTAACATGGAAACTGTTGAAGCTACCATTGCTTCCTTTTCCACCTTGCTGTTCCTTAGCCCCTCTCAAGAGATAGGGCCAAACCCATAGCCAGAGGCAGGAGCTATGCCAGCTACTACTACTGCTTCGATTGATATTGCAAAAGCCAGTGAGATGAGGGTAATTAAGGGCATGTGTAAGCTCTGTAGGAACCCTAGTTCAGCAGGAACAAGCAGAAGCAGCATACTAAACCTTGGTTCAAACACTCTGGATAACAAAGACCATCTCTTAATAGCTGTAATTTCTTCTGTTTCCCAGACTGCTATTTTTAGTTTACCAACCAGTTTCAACAAAGCCAAGTAAGCCTTGACTGACATTGTATCAGAGGCCAAGATCAGCCATTAAAAAGTACTATTTCCAAATTACAATAATCTAATTTTATACATGCAGCATCTAATGGACCCACAGCAAGACAGGCAAAATTCCCAGACTGTTAAGCATATCCTCTTAACCAGTCTCATTCATCAGGGCTGACTAACAACATTAATGCGGATGTCTCAAGAGAATTATTTGTATCCCAACTAAACACAAAGTGCAAAAGCTTTTCATAGTCATTACTGCTTTTTTATTCCTCAAATGTCAATCAGTTGACATTCCTTTCAATAGAAAGAGTCAAAAACCATTTGTATTTTTTAAGTCCAGCATTCTGAAACAAAATTTTGTGGAAGGAAGCCAAGAGCGTGCAGCACCTTCTGAAGTGAAATGTTGCCTCTTAGCAGACCTAGTCCAGTCATAAAAAAATACAATAAAAAGTTTACTTTCAGTCAGCCAGACTCTTCACATATAAAATCGTGGTTTGAAAGCTACATGGAACAGTGTAAATAACTACAAACAGTGTTATTTCATCTAAACCAATACAGTTTTCCAGTCAGTAGAGTTCAGATTCTGATTTCAATTCCCAAGCCAGAATTTGTGTGCCTGATAAATTCTACAGACCTTCCCTCATCTTCATTTGAATTGCAGTGTAGGTATCAGTAGAAGATACAGTAATTTTTACAGAAGTGCTTGGTAGTTAATCTCACATTTATTTGCCCTAATATTTGCCCTCAATTATTAGGATAGGGATGTAAATTATTTTAAATTACCTATTTATATTTTTTGGATTACAACATGTAAGGCAGGCTAAAAAAAACTTAAGTTTCTGTGTCTACATCTCAAAAGATGGGAAAAAAAAAGTCATTTATTATTTAAATCTCATATTCAAATTCCTCTTGAATATTCTACTCAGTGTTATTGAATATCAAGTTCCTCTGTCTAACAAATAAAATGGGAAATGGTTTGCAGCCTACAGCAATGTGACTTCACACTGTGACAGTCACAAATGACCTGTAAGGCAGATACATATCAGTTCTCAAGCATGGGCTGATTATTTCCGCAAGCAGCTTAAAGATTACAAATCATATTTTTGCTTTCAAACAGTTTCATTTCTTCAAAAAGTGCTATTTCCTATGCAACTTTTTAGATGGGTGTGAACAATCAATGAGGACATGCAAAACAGCCTGCTTTCCACTTCCATGACTTGTTTTTGTTACAAAGTCCCTGAGAGAAATAAATACATCAGTAAAGTGTAAGGTCTTTTGGGCAACATATGCAGTAGGTATTCCTTATGTAGTAAAAGATTATGGAATGATTAATACAGTAGAAATATCATGTCGACTACCACAAGCAGACCAGAAAGGCTACATTTGTATCCATGAACAACAATACAATCACAGCAATAAAAAAAAATGTAGGCTTTACTGGAAAACATACCCCAGTGATTCCTCTCTCAGGCTACAAAAACCTCTAGGCTTCTAAAAGTGTCTTCCTGTTACTTTCTCTCTCTCTCCTTCTCACTTGCTATATTTTGGCACAAGCTCCAAGAATTTCTAGCCAAATACTACAGCTCTATTTCAGACATATTTTCCTTTAAAATAAAAAGACAGAAATTAAATTGATTTTCAGAAGACAAAAGCCTTTAACAAACCATCAGTGAAATTTTTCTCTAACCAATAGCCTCCTTTCCCATCAAGCTTCTTCACAAATTCGATCAATTAAAAAAGAATTCAAGTATCATAAACTTTTATTTGACAATCATTTCATCTAACAAAACCAAAATATGACCATCTATTACCATTCTGTCTTATCACATCCTGCAAACCTAAGTGCCTGGTCCTGAATTTCAGTGAAAGTACTCACACAGCAGAAATATTCAATAATTCTTGTCTTACATATTAGAAGTGCTTACCCCAAGTACTAAATATATACCACAGGCAGAAATTGATCTCACAGCACTTTAGTTAAGTCTGCAACATATTAAACACTTAAAGGAGCCCAGTTTCATCACGTAGAGAACAATTCAATGTTAGCAGGTAGCAGCTGCCAGCACTTGGATACTGTTATTAGAAATGGTTTAGGCAGTTTACATAGACAGCATTGACGTGCCTTCTGGTTCAGGCATTAGTAGCTAGATCGTGGACCTGAATCACTCTGTAAAAGGCACCTTAAAATAGAGCTGGGGTCTGAGATCCCTTTTTTTGCTGTAAATGCAGACCAGTTTAATTGACTCCTATGTTTAAAGCCAATGTGCTGGATTTACTCCCAGGCTCCTCTAACACAGTCCAGGAGAGACAAGAGTGACACATGCCAACCAAGAAAAAGCTAAGCAAAGGTGAGTATCTTCAGAAACGCAGATGGGTGTAACCCATACAAAGAGACAATCTCTTATACTTGGATAAAATAATATCCCTGTTTTCCATAGCACTGTACATTGCTCCTGCTCTGAATTTTTTTACCATTTGAAGAATACAAAGTGAAGAAGATTAAGTTCTTCATTGGCTAGGCCTGTGTAGCCAACAAGAACAAAAAGGGAGCCATTAGTTGATACAACTAAGAGGAAAACACGGTGCAATAGTTGTTAAGTGTGCTGAAGTTGTGTGCAGCACTCAGAAGCCAATAAGTAGAAAAACTTTCCCCTCATCTGACCTAGTTCTGTCAAAGATTCACACATGGAGATAGTGGGTGTAAAGGTGACACATGCAGTACCTTCAAAAATTTTGGAAGGCAACAACTCACAGTGAAGAATACCTAAGACCTTGATGGGGAAAGGCAAGCTAGCTGAAAAATGTAGAAAATGCAGACAAGATATTAGAAGGCTGCCCAGAACTGTAGGTATACAAAAAAATGAAAAGATTAGGGCCAAGCCAAACCAAAACAATGCTGGGGAAAAACAAAAAAAGGTGCCAGAAGGATGACTCGCTCCAGGGCAAAGCTGCCTGATGCTGAGGGTGTGTCCTGTTTGAAAGGAGCTACAGATTTAAAGAATCAAACCTCTCCAAAACAAAAAAAAAAAACAAAAACCAAACTAAAACAAAAAAAAAAAAACCCAACAAACAAACAAACAAAAACCACCCCAAAACCAAAAAATAAACAAACAAAAAAAACCCAAAACCAAAACAAAAAACAAAAATGGCAAAATGTAAGAAATACTGCAAAAATCCAATATTACTGCAAAAACATAATCTAATTTGCTGGATTGCGAATTGCTGCTGACCGCACTGGGATAAGTCAACATAGAAGGGCACTGTCCCCAAAGAGTTTTTACACAAAATCAACAAAGAATAGCAGAAATAAGGAGACTTTTCTCCTTATTTCAAAGAAACATTAGTATTTCATTAGATTATCATACAAAATACATATAAATTATGTCCCAATCACCATATACCCAGCCATTGGTAGCTTGGTTGACTCTGTACCAACAATGGAACAGGTGGCCCAGGAAGGCTGTGGAGTCCATCCTTAGAGCTATGCAAAGCCCAATTGTGCATATCCCCAAGCAACCTGCTGCAGCTAATCCTGCTCCGAGCAGGATCATGGACTGGAGGATGCCCAGAACTGTAGCCCCTTCCCACTCCAGCAATTCCCTGATTAGATTAGAATGGATTTCTGAGAAGTTATTTAAGGATGCCTGTTTTTTCCCACAGAATGAATCAGAGGGTGCTCTATATACAAGAAACAGCCTTGGGGAAAAATAAACCAAACAATACAATACAGTTATTAATGAAGTCTGCAAATGTTTGTTAAATCGGCATTCCTGGTGGACAGAAGGTGACCTTGGACAACACCATGCTGGAAAAGCATTGGTCATCACTGTTGAACAGATTCATGAAGGAACCTGACAGTGAGGAGCAGCCAAATAAAATTCACAGTCCAGAAATGAAAGGTCCCAAAAATCTCTTCACCTACTGAAATCCAAAGTTAAAAGATATATTCAACTGTGAAAGTGTCTGAGGCAAATCTTAACCCATCATAGTCAATGTTCCTGTCTTTCTGACTGTTGCTGATTTTCTTCATCATTTCTAGGCAAGCAACACTTTTAGGGGAGTGCAACAAACAGGAATATATAAAAGGTCCCCCTATATAAAAAGAACAGCAGTCTAAGGTCAACAGAGCTCAGTGACCTTCCTGAAGAAAAAAAAAGCAGCTCTTGAAGAAAGAGAGACGTGACAGAATTGGGAACTATGTGAGCCACCTCAGTACTCATTTACTGAAATTTAATGGGCTTTGATCCAGGCTTACAAGTGTCTTGCTCAAAACACACCAGCAAAAATAATTTCAAAAAGCGTGCTTTATTTTGTAAAAGCAACTTCCAAAACCAGAAACTCAAAATGAGAAACTATTACATCCTCCTTTACCTACTCTTCCCAATTGCAGGACTACGGTAATTACTACATGCCATTATATAACACACATATGTTCTTGTCCACCCCAAAAGAGAATGTTTGTTTGTTACCTCTTACCGACAGTTATTTTGACAGTTCTTTTCTGTGAGTCCATCCTCATCTTCTCCCATAATATCCACTGCCGAAAATATCAGTGCAACCAGAATTGCAAAGCAGCATACCAGTGCAAAGATCACAATGCATCTTTGCTGGGACTGAAAGAGATTAAGATTAAAAAAAGTTTTAATGGCGTGAGCACATTCCAGACAACGACCTGAGACTCTAAGTCTTTTACATAAGATACAAAATTCTTTGAAGATCTCACTGCCATAGCTGTCAACATGGAACACACCTCAGAATGAAAACACTCGCAAAATTGTCCTTCATGTCTCACCTTGAGATGTATTTTAAATCTCTCAGACTCTGTTAAATAATTCATGTCACAAGATCCATAATTTAAACTGTTTTCTGTTTGTAACACAAGGAAAGCATTATGCATTATATTAATGATTCTTACATTAACTACATATTTTCTGATTGAGCCTCACAGGTAAAGTATGCACTTAGGATGGCACTCAAAAGTCTTGAGAGTTTTGTTGTGTTTGGCTGAAATAAAACATGTCATTGCAAGCAGAATGAAGAGCAAAGACTTTTTTTATTGCTACACAAAGTAACTGACATTGTTACCATGACTGTCACAGCAACGGAGACACTTTGGCAAGTCCTTGCCCTACAGTACTTATAAGGAAAAATAACTCACAGATGATAGATGGGATTCAAGGAAACAATGGGAAACTGGTGCTTAGTATGATAGGCAATGCCCTCTGCATCTCAGATTAAATATTAAAGCACAGCACAGCACTATTTTATTCTACAATATGAAATCCTTCCATACTTAATCAGATGTAACCATGTACAGGGACAGATAAAGGTGAAACCTCCTACAGACAATCTCCTGGCATGCAATTTACATAGCTGCATGAAAGCATATTTTATTCTGAAACCAAATATTCAAACAAATATAATATTTTTCTGCTGAAGAAAATTTGCAGAAAACCACACTATAAATAAAAATATAAAAGTCTAACTTCTGTTGCCATAGTTATTTTCTTGATTTTAATTATCGCACTGTAATTAAAATGTCGCATAAAGAAGAAAAGCTTTATAAAGGAATGGGGGTAAGTGAGAAAGTAGGAAAAGTGTAAAGGAAACAAAGCAATGTCATCCTTGCAGCTGAAAAACAACTTCATAGTATTTGCATTGCTCCTGACATTTTGTTTAAGACATAATAAGTTTCAGAGTAATAGGAACATTTTCCCATATGCATAAAGAAAACTTTTTAAAACAGATTTCCAAAACTTCCAAAGTAGTGCACATCCAAGAAGAAACAAGCTCATGCCTTTCAGAACAAATCAGATATAAGCATTTTATTTCAGTCTGTGAAAATCTAAAATGCAGCAAATAACTGCTTCAAAAAACCAGGAACAAATATTCTGAAATTTAGTGAGAAATTAATCCTTTTACCTAACTGTAACACTGAATAAGCTGCTCAGGTTATAGGCGTATTTTAAACACAATGCATATTAGACACTTTAATACCTCTGAAATGTACGTTAATGTCTGTGCTTTCTAATAAACTACCCAAAATCTTATAAGAATGCAGCATAAGAAAGTCATCTTCAACCATTTACAAGGCCTATTTCTGAAATAAATAAAATTTGGACCTTTCTTTTTATGATGCTAGGTATAATTACAGCAACCTACAAAAAGAACTAGAAATTCCTGTATTTGGGTGTCCAGAACTAAGGCTGCAGTCAGATACACAGTAGAGCTCAAGAGAAAAATGTTAAAACATTGCCTTGTTGCCTTATACTACCGGCAAGAAAAACTAAGTGCCAAAGATATAGAGGTATTCAGATCTGGGACACTGCTTTATGCCATTTCTTCATCAGGAGGCTAGCACTCTTGCTAAGATGATCATTGTCTCATGAAGTTTTTTACAGTTTTGTAAGTGTATTTGCAGAAACTGATGCAGCTTCTTCCAAGCACTGAGCATATCACCATGGCAGCAACATAGCAAATCTACTCCCATACCAGTGAGTCAAACAGAGCTGGAGCTCATTCTCAAGCCCCTAAGAGCAGAGGATGTGACCCAGCACAGCTTGCAACACTGGCATTCTTTTTCCTCCCAAACCAGGATAACTACAGCCATTCTACTCACTGGGAACAGTCCCAAGTCCACATTTGGAGGATATTTGTAGTAATAAGCATCCTAGCTACCACCCAGCATAAATTACTTTATGCCATCTTCTTTTCTGCGTGAACAACTAGAGAGACCTACAGGGTCAATGGACCACCAGTAACCACAGTAGCCTCCAAGGCTAGGTCAGCACACATGGAGGCAGCAATAGATGTTTCATCAAAAGGAGCCCACTGTACCTCTACCACACATGTCATAAGTCATACAATGGCCCTAAAGCCCTTTTAACCAGTTTAAAATTTAGAGGCCAAAAGCTATATAAAATCTACAGTGTATAAAAATGACATGGTATCACAAGGAGAGGGGAAAAAAAACTCCAACAAAACAACAACAACAAAAAAGGCAGGTGCAACAGATGCCTCAAGTTCCTTTAATACCAGAAAATTTTATGGTAGCAACTCCTAGGGGTTTATGTTCAAGGAACATGGAAAGTGGAGGCCAAAATAATTCTGAATGGAGCCTCCTAATCTAGCTTTAAATCCCATTCCACATAAATTTGGAGAACATATTCAAGATTTCTTGACTTCTGTGTCACAGTTGAAATTTGCATAAGGTTTAAAACCCTGTTATGCAGAGCTTGTTAAGCTCTGCAGTCTGACTGCTTCTCACTGAGCAGCACACAGTACCACTACTAAGACCACTGCTAATATACCAACATTAAAATACAGAACTGCACCGATCTAATTTACTGCGCTTATTCACACAGATCGTTTATAATTACACATTTGTCTTTGACAGTTATAACAGACTCATTATTTCACTTTTTCTTAAGCACCAGCTTAACAGCATAATTACAAATAGTGCAGGGGGCTTTTTAAATCCACACACAAAACCAGAACATTACCAAAGTGTGACAGGAGTATTTTTTCTTTCAACTAAGGATAGAAAAAAATATTAAATAAATCAAAACTAAACCTCCAAGTTTGCAATTCTCCTACCTGTACATATTTAATCACAAGTCTGAGGGGCAGGTAAAGATTATTTTTAAAAAAAATCATACAGTTAGTAAGGAGAATTTTGAATGGTTTTACAGTTCATCTTGAAATTCTTCCCCTGAGTGGTTATTTTTTTGATCGCTTTTAAATCTATATATGACATTAGAAATAAACATTTGAATATTGCTTAGATTCAAACTGATGTTTATATTAGAAAAAGAATTAAAATAATAAAACTACTGGCTCCAAACAAGTCTTCTGAGCCTTTCGTTTGACAATGGTAATAAATCTTACTTTTCAACCACTAATGTCAAACTCCAGGCAATTTTCTAATAGGCTTTTTCTAATTAAAATAGATTAGAATAGACCATATCACTGTTCTACTATGCCATCCATGTGTGCCTCTGTGTGTGTGTGCCTATGCAAGAACAGCAGGTTTCTTGAAAGCATTCAAAGTAAAGAGCTCATGCCATAGACAGACTACAAGGAATCTGTTAGATTTGCTGTTCGGACTATTGCATCAGTGGGCTTGGGCAGTCTGATTGCTTGGTACTACGTTGACGTATAACCCCTTGACAACTGGGATCCCTCAGAGCTACCCTCCTTCCTCCTTCAGTAAATGCCTGAAAAACCCTCTGTGTGTTTAAGCTTTCAGTCTTCAACATTTAATTACAGAATACAGGGTCAGCAGGGATCTCTAAAGCTTATGTCATCCATCTATCCATATACATGGTTAATTTATACAAATATTACTTCTAACATATATTTGTCTAACTTGTACCTAAAAATCTCCCATTGAAAGCGATCCTACAGTCTCCTCAGGCAACCCATCCATGGTGTTAGTACCTTACTGATGCCTAACTTTAGTCTCTTATGCTGCAACATATTCCCTTCCCAACTTGCTCAAAATAGAGAACAGAGTATTTAATTCTTTCCTATTGCAGATTCTTACATATTTGAAGATCATTACAGATACTAAGAGTCCTGCGCCCAGAGCATCTAATAGGTTGACTGCACCTGTCAGAGAATAACCTGAGACTTCACACTTAACAGCATGGAGATCTCTCTACTGGGAGGCCAGAATTTCTGTTACATGAGAGAAAGATTTCTTCAGAGCTTATAGAAAATTGGGAAAGAAACTTCTGCAGGAACACGGACTATCAAAAATGCTGCTATTTTCCATTTCATGAGCAAAATGCATTTCTTTCACCTGCCTCACCTATCTTAAACAATGTCTACAATAAAATAAATCCAGCAAAACATGGTATTTACTAAAATAAAGCATCGTTATTTTTTATGCTGTTATACCCCAAGATAGAGTGAGAAAAAGAACAAAAGCTGCACCATGGGAATGCAGTACAGTATTAATCACACCTGATTTTAATCTGAGAAGGACCCTTTCTGTTTGTTCATTATTAAGAAAAAGGATAGTCTATGTCAGTTAAGGTTGCATCAGAGCCTGTGATACTCAAGCAGAATTGAAAATGAGAGCAAGAAAGAAAAAGGCCTCCATCTTTACTGCACTCCCATTGCTCAAAAGCTGTGAAGAACACTTCAGTGGCCCATAAAGCTTTCATTTTCTTCACAAACAATAAGTATCTCTGTGACACACTAAATTTAATCAGGAGTTTAGTTTTCCCTCTATATAGTACAAAAAAGTCCTCTCTCCAAACAGGAACCGTGAAATTGCAATGCTGCATCTACAGAGAAAACTGAGCACATAAAACCAAAACATGTCATGGTTATGAACTAATGCTTCATTTCTATACCTATTTAAGAATACGGGATGTAATATTTATACATAAAGCATACTAATACGGATTTCACATCTGCTTGTCAGAACCACAGAGGCTCTAAGAGGTAGGTTTTCACATCTGCCATATGAGTAACCAGCTCTTTCCTGCAACATGTCTGAACACCAGTGTGAGAACAAAAGCACTCATCTTCAACACCTCATAAAATCCTGCTTACAACTAGGGTTTTATGTCATGCTACAGTACATTCACCAAAGAAAGCAAGGAG